TGGGCAAGGGCAGCTCAGGAGAGCCCTGCTGGGCCCTGCAGAGGTGATGCTGCTGCTGCCCAGGGCTGAGGAGTGGCTGAAGGCCCTTTGGGAAGCTCCCAGCAGAGACACTGACCACCCAAAGTCACAAATCTGGAGTCTCTGTAAATGTTCAAACATTCCTTTGATGATGCTGTGTGTCCCTTTCAACTCAGAATGTTCTGTCATTCTGGGATTACAATTCCTGTTCTGCTTCTTTCCTCCCCCTTTTTTCTATAATCACAAGATAAAAAAAGCCCTTTGCACCAGTCTTAGAACAGTAAAGTAAAAACCAGACCTGTATTGGAAGCTTCCAGGTGTCCCAGTGGGGATGAGGCACACCCAGCTCCTGATTTCAACAATTTATTAAGGTTGATTAATTAGGATATTTAACAGGAACATCCAATAGGAGATTTAGTTGCCCCAGTTACACACCCCTGGCTCAACCCATTGGAGCAGGTCCAAGTGCTTCTTTGGCTTCACTTTTGTTTATGAGTGTTCACATTCCAGTCAAAACCAAAATATACATCCTGTAGGCCCTCCTCCTGATGATATTTAATATTTAAAAATGTATTTTAGCCAGCCTTATTGTTCTAAAATCTAAGAGAAAGGTAAGAAAACCTACTAGAGTTAATTAAGAATTATATTACATAAAAAATAGTAGTTTAATAGACTTAATTAAGAGTTTAATAGACTTAGGTAAGGATTACAGTTTTCTAAGCATATAATAGCAATTTATAGAACTACGAATATATGAAAAATATATGAAAAGCAAATTTTTTTTTGTCACTACCCCAACTTTCCCATCCAGCTCCAAGCAGGAAATGGAAAACACTTCGAGGAAAGCTACTGATATTTACAGCAATCCCAGGCTTACCTTCTTTGGGAGGTGTCGTCCGGAGCTGTGCCCAGGCTGGTCTGGAGCTGGGGGCAGCCCTGCCCCACCCAGCCCCTCTCAGCAGCAGCACCTGCCCTGCTCAGGGTGGCTCCTTCCCCCCACAGCTCCTGGCCAGCGCTGGGAGCAGCTCCAGGGCCGGCTGAGAGCTGTCCCTGGCAGGCAGCAGAGTCCCTGGCCCAGCACAGCGCCCTGGGCTGCAGGACCCTGCTCTGCAGGACAGCCCTGGGCACCCTTGGCTGCTCTGCACAGGAGATGAGCAGAGAATGCACTCACAGGGTCTGTGGGCATTGGGATGTTCCAGCTTTAGGAGATCTCTCCAGGAGCTGCAGCTGCATTGTCCTGCAGCCAGAGGTTCCTGTGCCAAGGGCTGGCAGGGATTCTGCCCCAGGCACTTCTCAGCCCCTTCCCCTTCCCTTCCTCTGTGCTGTACTCGGGCTGGCTGCAGGCAGTGCTCCAGCCCTGCTGGGCTGGGAGAAGAGCTGTTCAGCAAGAGAAATGTGCTTTTGAAGCTCTCCTTGGTTACCAGGATCTGTGCCAGGAGCCCGGCCCAGCTCAGCAGCACAGACACAGCACAAGGTCTTTAATGACCCTCTGGGGCTTTGTGCTCAGGCCCTGAACATCAGGCCCTGAGAGGGAGCTGCAGAAACCTCTCCAGAACTCCAAGTTAGAACCCAACTCCAAAGTTTCTTGGACTTTTAATGGGTCCCACTGAGGGACACGACTGAGAAAGTGTCCCCAGGCCCCAGGCAGAGTAGAGAACTGGAGGCACTGATGACAGGTGGGGACAAAGAGAAGCCAAGTCTTGGTGCCCTAGGGCACAGCAGGGTCTGTGCCACCAAGGGCTGTGAGGAGACACCTTGTCCTGAGGCCCTGGGGCCTCCTGGGACAGCCTCAGCCAGGCTGGGCACTTGTCACCCCCTGGTCCTGCCCTCAGCATCCCCCCCTAGCCCACATCCCAGTGGTCTCAAGGATCTGCTGGAAGGAGTCCCCGGGGAGCCTTGGTCAGGAATGGCCCTGGGGGCTCCTTCATGCTCCCAGGGACTGCAGGTTTTTAAAAGACTTTAGCTTTTGCTTTTTCCTGGCAATCTCTGGGAGGTTTCTGCAATCATGGCCTCCAATATTCTGCTTTAATTCGTCTCTGGAGAGGCTTTGTCAGTAACAACACTCATTGGGGCCCATTAATGCTTCAAGGTACTTCAGTTATTTTAAGGTACTTGGTGTTTCCCTTTTGATCCAGACTCTGTGAGAGGTCTGTGCAATCATGGCCCCAATTATCTGCTTTAATGAGTCCCTTGAGAGCTTTGTACTGACACTCAGTGGGGCTCATTAATACTTTGAGATACTCAAATTTTTTAAGGTACTTTGGATTCTCCTTTCCACACTGAGAGGTTTTTGTGCTATCCTGGCCTCCAGTTCTCTCCTCCAAGGAGTCCATGAGGAGCCTTTGTTGGGGATGGAACTCAGTGGGTCCCATTAATGCTTTGAGACACTTTGGGGTTTTCTTCTGACTTTGACTCCTGGAAAGGTTTGTGCAATCTTCTCTCAGGCCCTGAGGTTCCAAGGCTCAGCTCCAAATGCACCACGGGGCTCATTAGGATCAAGCAAGTCCTGATAAACCATGGATCTGCCCTGATTTCCCTCTGCTCTCGTGCAGTTCATCAGGAAGTTTCTGTTGTGGTTTTAGTTCATAATTTTGAGATTTGTTGGCCAATGCATCAATTAGTGTGGTGGGTTCAGTGTTGGCTAATTACCAGTGCACTCACTGGAATATACTTACTCATTTCCTGGTCTGAGGTAGGATTAGGAGAAAGGCAAAGTGGGATCAAACTTTAAGAATAAAAAGAAAAGTTTACTAACAGTAACTAAAAGCAAGAGTAATAAGGATCAGATCAGAACTTTCAGAACTCTTCTTGTCTCCATAAAACCTGACAATGAAAAGAGACAAATCCTAAACATTTCACTGAGTTTTCCTCCTCTAGAATAGTCTTTCTTCAGTTCACTTAGCAGGAGAAGGTCCTGTTGTTAATGTTATGGAGACTTCTCCACAAGAAAACAGTTATCTCATGGCTTTTCATTTCCATGAATAGCAGATGCCTGGAAAAATCTGCAATTGCAAAGTTCCTCCCATTTTTTCACAGCCTTTCCCACAGCTGTGTTCATGGGCCATGTCAGCTTATGGGGTATTGGTTTAATATGAGCTGTTTAAGAGCAAAGGTTCTCTTAATCTCTTTGTGAAATCATCTTCATCTCTGGGAACAGAGGTCTTCTTCTCTCCCTGAGGGCACAGGGTCTCATCACTCTGCTCTCTTTCAATGTTCAAACTTCTCATGGGATCACAGCTACTGCAACATTTGCTTACTTTAGCATGGAGGCATTTGCTTAAACCAGTCATCTCCCCATCTTTTTCAATGCCATTTAGGGAAAAAGAGAGTCTGATGTATCAATGACATCCTTCTCCACAGCTTTACCAGAGGATTTCAGCCCCAGGATCAAGGCATGTCCTCATCCCTCCCACCTGGGACTCAACTTCCTTTTCAGTGACCTCGGTGTCTTCATGTTGCTCCTCTGTGTGCCTGCCCTGTGTCCTTTTCTCTTACAGGAGGGAGGATGGCAGCACTGTGAAGTGATACATGGAATAAATAAATTGACTCCAAAACTTAATGTAGTTATGAAGTGGGTATGTATGCCAGCGCCCGGCACAAGTGAGATAGCTCTCCAAAGTCTTGTGCCCCGAGCTGGAGTTGTCCCACAATTTTATTCACAAAGATGTTCTATATGCAATACATTATACAACTTTTCTATGCATATTCAACTCCTGGCTCCGCCTGTCTTCGCCTCTCATGCTAAATAGGTCCACGCCCTTCTGGGCATGCGTGGTTTTTTGTGGTGGTCTTTACAGGGGTCGCTGG